TACTCGAGGAGAATTCAGAAGGCTTGAGTCATGACCACAGCTATTTCCCTGGTTAGCTGTGGTTTAGGAGAGGCGTGTAGCCTTTCAGGATCTCAGTGTCACAGTCATTTCCAAAAGGGGAAGTCTTCATCATCTCTACAGGCCTTCAATTCTGAAAGACCACGATTTTGAATCCTTCTTCCTTTAGGAACATCTCCTTTACCAAACTCGAACCATATCAGTAGTTCTCTGCTGAAGTTTTTAATCTAACATTCCAGAGCAGCACTGCTGTGTATATATATATAAAATTAAGACTAGCGCCTGGCAAATAGTAAGGCCTGCATATCATTTTATCCATGGCAACATATATATTTTTAAAATCTCATTATTTCTTTGCTCATGATGAGCTACAGATGAAACAGGAATTAGAAGAGAAGCTCTAGTAAAGTATACGTGTTTGAACTGCTCATTGATGGTTTGGGGGTTCAGAGTATAAGCATCAGCAAGGCCAGTCTTCCAAGTTGGAGTTTTCTTGCCCTCTGCATAATGGAATTAGACCAGTTATCAGGAACTTTCCCAAACCCAGCTATACAGTTTACTGCCTGCTACTCACCATCCGAGTGTGTAACATCTATGACTTTATCCTAGCTAACCTCAGCCAGGGCTGCAAAGAGCAAGCACGTGATAATCTATGATGGCGTGGAGAGTGGGCCATGTGAAGATAGCCCTTGGGCACATGGTGCCCACATTCCCCTGGCTTCACTCACAGGGAGCTGCTTTCGAGTCCTCACTTAAATGCTTAGATGGAACCACACCTAAAGGAAAGCAAGATTACAAAACAAATTGGGAAGAGGGCATGCAAGGAGTTAGGGGCAGAAAACAAGTGATGAGAATCTGCATAGGTGGTCCAAACATGGATTGATCCCACTTTATGATTTTCTTTAGGTTTGATCTTAGACCACTTTTTCCCATAAACATCCAAGACTAATAATTGACCCTGTTAAGAAAAGTTACCCTGGCCACAATGTTCCTTAGGGAGGAGAATTCCAAGCCAGAAGGTTTAATGTAACTACCCTAATGATCTACAAGTTCAGTTCACCTCCCCAGCTTGGCTACTTGAGCAGAGTAAAGGCTAGCTGTTGTCCATGCTTCTGTCCCAGGGGCCTTAGACAGGTGACAGAGTAGAAGATGCCCCTGAATGACTTTTTTTCTTTTGTAAGAAAGAGTTCAGTTACTACATGTTCCCAAAATTTCAGTAAAAAGAGAAATGACTTGATTACAAGTCCACAAAGATCATACACAAATGACAGGTCTTCAATAACTTCATAGAGAATGCATATTATAGAAAATAATTTATGGGGCCAGCAGGTGGCATGGTGGTTAAGGCGTTGGATTCTCACATGGTCAACTGTGGGTCAAATCCTGGACCTGGTGTCATGAAAATCATGCTGGGTGCATGTGCATGTATGTGCATGCCCAAAGTCCTGAGAGGACAATGGAAGAAAAGGATGGGAGGGATGATTTATAACTTTGCTCCTCTCTGTCTTTCTCTGACTCTCTCTGGAGAGTGCATTTGTTGTATGGCAAAAAGGAAAAAACAAATGTATGAATTTTAGAACTTGTTTGCCCCAAAATTAACTCATACATTAATTCCATTTTGCCACATGCTTTAAGTCCCTTGTCTCTCTTACTCCTATGTTTGTGCCAGTGTCCTTACTCTTCCAGTCCTAGTTGGCCATGGCTTTCTTAGCACCCACCCCACTCAGCTAGGGATCCCTTCCCATCCAGTGACTGTGATGGCTTCTTACCTGGTTCCAGTCTCTCTTCAAGCCAATCCATGCACTTGCCATAGCTATTGCAGTCTTATTGACGTTTTGATCATAAACAGATATATACATACTATAATCAATAGGTTGGCGAATGTTCTCCCCACATTTGCAAGACAAGGCCTCAGCTGGATCCACTGCCCAGAATATATGAAAACATATCTCAGGTGTGTCACAAAGATTGACAAAGTACTAAATTTTACAAATTATTGCAATAACCTATTTAGCTATCTAGTAAATTGAAGCAGATTTAAGGTAACCTAAATTATATAAGCATTATTTTGTCTAATGTAAACCAGAACACAATTTCTTGAGGGAGATAGAAAAAAAGTGGAATTATTGCTATCCTTACAGAAACTATATATAAGGCATGTCTTCACATGAGGTGCTATCATGTGTGTGTGAGAAGAAAATGCTTATCTGTTGTTTCAAAAATAATCACTTCTTGAAAGTGAAAGATAAACAAAATGATGGTCGTGTGTAAAAGGACTTTCGTTTATTTCAGTCATTCCCAGGTCTCAGATGTCTTGTCGTTTTGGGGTCCGAGATCTCCTTTATAGTATCCATAGGAAGGTCATGGTAAGCACTGGCAAGACCTTAGCAATATAGCGGGAGTGTTAGGCAAAAGCCCATTCCAATTTTCCTTGCCTAGAATATAAAATAATAATAATAATAATTACTTACATGCCATCAGCTATAAATAGACAAAAATATAAATAAAGAAAATTATCAAGCTATCTCAGAATGAAATCAAAGAAACTTCAGTTGCTTATCTACCACTTTGAGAAAGGGACTTTGTCTCCCTATTTAATCATCCATTTTCCCCAAAAATATTTGCACTAGCATTGAGCCTGGGGGGAAAAGCAACAGCAGACTGCAGCTTCTTCACCTGCCCAGTCTTGTGAACTATCAGAGCACACACTTTCAGATGTCCTTTTTGAAGGTCACTAGAATTATAGAATTTGGTTGAAATGAATTGGAAGGTCATTGAGCCACTTCAGCCTTGACCTTCAGGCAATCAATATTCAGACAAAACTTCACCAGTTTCCAGACAGGCCACTTTTTTCCATCCCTACATCCATTCTTCCATAATTATGTAATCTTCCAAAATGGTTTTACAAAAATCATTACTATGTTTTCAGAGGAAGTTTATTAAGAATGACACATGGGAAGATGTAAAGCTTCAGGAGAAATTTGGGGAGATTAACATAAAGCACTCGCCTCTCTATCTACTTACCCTTCCTCCAACTGTCTTTTTTCTAGCAGGCAACTGTTACCGGCTAGAGAGTGAGGCTTTGAGAAAAGCTGAGACTTCCAAAAGTTTGTTTGTCCCTAAACCAGTCAGGGCGTGTTGTCTTCTGCATTCCATAGCTCAGTTTCAATTATGGGCACTAAACCAGCAAGTCTCTAAAGATGGACAGTTGGCACACAACTCGTCCTCACTCTGATTTTACCTCAGATGTTCCCCTCCTAAGTCATTTCCCCCAGGCAAATGGTAACCACAAAATGAGGAAATATCAGTCAACTTGCAAACCCCGTCAAGCCAAGCCTCCATGTGTAAGCAAAGGCTTCTGAGGATTACAGGTAAGGAGTAATCTTATTCCAAATCTGGCCCTTCACACACCTGTGCAATGCAGTTACTTCCCACTTAAGCCGACAAATCACATATCCAAAGGATGTCCTTCTGCTTCTAGAGTGTGTTTTGACTCAGTTGGTATTTTTTATGGATTAAAATGATTCAGAAAAAAATTACATCAAAAGAAGATGAATACCAGCATCTTTTGTGGCTCTTTCTGTCTGGCATTATTCAAAATGAGGTGGTAGGTGGGTTTAAAGTCTTCTCACATATGAGCTCCCCGTTCTGACTAGTCTAAAGACAGAGATGCTGCTTAAGTTGAGACCAGAAGAAAAGGTCATGTCTTTTTCTCATGTGGGTGTGCAGGGAAGAGGAGGTGCAGTGATGACCACCCTTTGTCTCTGTTCATTTCCTGGATAATGTCTGCTCAGACAGCCTCCCTATCCCTGATCATTGGGGAGCCAGGATCAGAAAAGCAGATAAAACAGGATCTTTGAACAGTAAACAAAAAGCATTTAAGTATCAAAGCACTGTGTAGAATGTGACTTTTTTTTGTTAGTAATGTTTTTTTCCTCCTGAAACATTTTTTAATTAATTAATTTACATTCATCCCCTAATCATCAACACAGCATACAAAGTATAGTTTCCCATGTACTGCATGGCTTAATCATGTATGGTATCAACAATAATTTTCCATTTCTAGCTTTATATATATATATATATGTATTTTACCCCTGTGTCTGACCTTCTGCCCTTTCCCACCCTCTTCTCACACTATCTCTGAGTCTACAGTTGAATGTGACTTTTATCACAATACCAAGTGTCAATTCTTATTTACTGACGATAATTGCCTAGCCTAGAATGTTAAAAAGGATTCCTGGGTTGAATCTGGGTTCCAAGATAAGACTTAAGTGCCATCAAATGGATGCAAGAAGAATTAATGGCTCACCTGTTACTTTTCTCTATCTTAAAGCAGCATCATGTTGTTCATTTAATCTATTCATTTCAAAAAAAATTTCCATTTATCCTCATAATCACTCTTCAAAGTCATGGTATAATAGTCATCTTGCAGAAGAGAAAATTACTTGCTTTTGTGTTCTTTCCAGACTTGGAAATTCACAATAGTTTCCAAACATTTCCCTGTAAGATCAAGTCTTCAAAGGTCAAAATTAGTAATAAAGGGAGTCTCAAAGAGAAAACAAGGTATCAGGCAGTGATGTCTGAAGAGAATGAGCTGCAACCTGAACAGTATTTGCAGAAAAGAGATGAGATTTGTATAGAAAGCTTTCTTAGAGTTTTAAGATGGCTCTAGACTCTGCTTGTTGCAGGAAAGCTTTTCGGGTGCTGTGCTCTCGAGATGAGATGGGTGACCGATGAGAAGAGTGCAGTAGCGACTCATTAGGAAGTATAGCATACAGAATGAAAACCCTCACACTAATTGTGTAAAAGAAAATCAAAACGTTTTTCATAATTCATCCCTTTAGAACTAGTCTGTCGTTAAGGAACCCTCACCTCTCCCTTGTCAATGGCCCAAAAATGTCTCAGTCAACAGGTATGGTCCAAAAGTCCCTTGTGAAGAGCCAGCTTGTCAACTCACTAAGGTCACTATGCTATTACAGGGTCATCAGTGAGGATCTTGAAGAACACCATTAAGCACTTCAAATCTAGAACAGTAAAGCGGAACATTTTCCCAGTGGAGATGGAAAACAAGACTAGCACCTTGACCTTAAACACCAGGTAAGAGCTTCAGAAAACATCAACCCCCTATGATATCCTGAGAATCACTGAGCAATAAAACATGATTTAAACCAGGACATATGTTGTATGAGCTCCTATACTGACTAGTGGAATTGTTCCTCTTCAGAATGAGTTCATCTCTCCCCCCATAGCGTTAAGCCAAGCAAATACTCCTCCTCCCAACATGGCTCAGTTCATCTCCACTCATAATAACTGGAAGTTACTAACCCAGTTTTCTGTCAAACCCCCTTTCAAGCCAGGGCCAAGTTTCAGTACTCGCCGGTGGTTTTTCTATTATTAATCTATCCACTATGTCCAATAAATTGATGATGGGATTGCTTAAATTTTAGTACCCACCAAGCAGGGTCAGTGAGTTCTTCCTTCCCTGTCTCTTCTCCCTACAGCACTTTAGTACATTAAATCCCCCATTAACCAGAAAATGGGGTTAAAGATAGAGGGTGATCTGATCAGTTGACTTTAAATATTAATAAACAGAAGGTCAGTCTAAAAGTCCTATTCCTCAAAATTTGAATGAAAATAACTGCCTTATGTTGGTAGCATTTTAGTTTAGTAGCTATAGTATGATAGGAAGATCATCAATGACCCAGGGTTATGATCGTCTAAGGTAAATATTGCATCATCAGTAGAGCATAGCCATTATGCTCTGGCATTACATAAAGTATAGATACTTTGTAGATTTTTTGTAATGATTGAATGAAATTAGGTACTTATTTTAAACATAGCATACAGAATGAAAACCCTCACACTAATTATGTAAAATGACTATTATTTAAATCAGTCTGCTGATACAGCCATTATGGAAAACAGGAATGAGGCTCCTCAAAAAATTAAAATAGAACTGCCATATGACACAGCAGTCATGCTTCTGTGTATTTATCCAAAGGAAATGAAACCAATCTCTGCACTCCCCCATTCACTGCATCATTTTCACTATGGCCAAGACAGAAACAACCTAAGTGTCCATCAAAAGGTGGATTGGTAAAGAAAGTGTAATATACACAGACACACAGACACAGAGGAATACCATGCATTCTTTTTCAAAAGGAAACTCTGCCATTTTTAGCAACATAAATGAGCTCGAAGTCAGGCATAGAAAGAGAAACACAGCACGATCTCACTCATACATGGAACCTAAAACAGTCAAACCCATAGAATCACAGAAGAGAACCATGGTTGCCAAAGACTAGGGATGGGGTACATGAGAAGATTTTGGTAAAAAAAAGCTACAAAAACAAATGAATAAACAAAACTCCATTTGTTTGAACCTTGACTGCTAGTAAATATTTGTTCAATGTTCCTTATTATTGCAATGATCAATTTTTGTATCCAGAATGGTTTGTGAAATTGTGTTGAACATGTAATCAGTATAGGCCTTCCAAGAATGTGAATTTTGAAATGAATCCTTAACTCGTCTTGGTTTTGAAATTTCTTTCTTTGAACACATGAAGAATCATGTTTCTGTTTAACTGAGGATTCTGGGTTGGTGGGTCTGGCTCATGCAGTTTTTGCTGTTCTCCCTCCCAAGGTGATAATAGCAGGTCATATGTCTGAGACCTCAAAGATGTCCCCAATTCCTGGGTATACTTTGTCTTTTTTTTTTTTTTTTTTTTTTTTGGAGAGGTTTTTGCTATAGGGCACATGTGCTTGCCAGAAAGACAGAGAGAGACAGAGAAACAGAAAGTGAGAAATCACCTCCCAGGAGGGATGGCCACACCTCAATCCCTTCTCCTCCATTCTCCTCTTGGGATCTTGGGCACTCACGCACACGTGACCAGCATGAGTTTAAGCCACCGGGTCTGGGACTCGAACCGCAGTCGACTACATGGAAGTCCAGCGACATAGCCATTACACTAACTGCTGGTCCCAATATACTTTGTAAAGGGAATGTAAATACCCTGGAAATTATAGTTTCTGCCATTCCTAGACTTCTGTTTTCAGATTTTTATAAAACTTAGGGAGGTGACCTGTAGGAAAGGACTCAGAACTCATTGAAGGAGATTCACCAGGGAATTTCAGGGATGCAGACAAGGAAACAGCTACAGACTATCTCTGGAACTTGCAGATTTTATTTCCCTAACGGTGTGAGTAAATAAGTGCTTATAGAGTTTCTATCTGTGTACGAAGCAGGCAGCGTGTATAATGCTTCGTAGATATAGACAGTGTCTCCCTGCAGCATGCTAGTACACTAAAACCCCCCACCAACCAGAAAACGGGTTAAAGGTAGAGGGTGATCTGCTTAGCTGATTTTAAATAATTAGAGGGTCAGCAACCTGGGCAGATGAACAAAATGAATTCATATAAAATAGATTGGAGGTCCAATAAAGCAGCATTTTTTCAAGATCTGTGATGGTTCTGGCAGAAAATTAGAGCAGGAAGAAGTCCACGAAAGCTGGATGGAGTGCTTCAGAAAGTTTTCGGTGCGAGGTGGGATTTAGAAAGGTGGGAGACAGCAAGAACCTCATTTCCTATGAGCAGTGTGAGTGGACCAGGAAGGCGTGGGGGGAAATGCAGCCCCTTTCATGTACCAACTATCCAGACAGACTAGAAGGAGAATAAGAAATACCTTGAATTCCTCAAGAACATGCTGTTACCCTTGGTATATTGACTATGTGCATCCACGTGTGTGTGTGTGTGTGGGTACGTGTGTACATGCACCTTTGTGCATGCCTGTGCATATATGCATGTACGTTATGTTTACGTTAATGCAAAGTTATTTCAGAAGCATGACTCCCATTTGAGCATCGGTTTGAGGACATGAAGACGCTGTGATACCACATAATGTTCTTCAGTCACGTTTGTGCTCTCGCTTATTCTTTCTCAGCTCTTCTCTGTAATAACAAAGGGTTGGCAGGCCATGGAAAGTCCTTCAGTGCAATTTTAGCCACTCACTTTTGCTTATTTTACCCATTATTCTTTAGCACAACTGTAAACAAAATAGTAATGATTTAACTTATTGCTATTTTTCCTATGGTCTTTATTCCCCTGGTGGCATTTGAAGAGAAAATGCTTGGCCCACATCGCCTGGTCCACCCACAGACCTGGCTCACCAGCCCTACCTCTGGTTGGGGTTTCCCTGAATATTCTTGAGAAGCCCCCAGAGAGGGCCAGAGGTAGTGCTGGTAACCTGCCTGGATCATCTCTAAAACTGATGGTGAAATCACTTGACCTCTTAATTCAAAAGCAAGCTATGTTCTCATAAACTCTACAGAGCTTTCAAAACAAATTGATCAGGGCCACACCACTGAAGCTCTTAGATGGTGGTTTATACTTGAGTAGACTAGTACCATTTGAGGGTGATAATCCCTGTGATAGTTCATCAGCAGAGTTGGTTAAGTTAGTTCATTGAAGTCTGGTGGTAATGGGTCAAAGATAGCTTCTACTCCTATTTATACCATAGAAAAGACTTGTTTTGTTGTCATATGTTATTGGTTTTTTTGCAGGGCAAAAATAACTCTAGCTGGCCAATTGGCAAACATAAGTCCTCAGTAATGAGGAGTGGTATTGTACAGTAGATCAGAAAGTTTAATAGAGACAAATAAACATTCTTGGAAAAATGTCAGATGTGTGATGCCTGACCCCGTTATGGTGTGTTAATAGTATTACATTCACATAGTAAAAACAGCCTCGTGTTGTTTATAGTTGTGCTGACAATGGGCTCAATGCTTTTAAAGATGTAAGCTTCAGGCCTCCAGTGGGTTTTCCAGTAAGTCTGGAAACTACCGTCTTTCTCTAGTACTTAAGGCTCTACAGGCAGCCCTGACTTGTAGACAAGTTATAGCCCAGTATTTCACTGTATCCCTGGTGTCTTCCTTTCCCATAGAATAAGCAATGCTGTAAATAGCAGTTGATCTCTCAGACTAGCACACAAAAGACTCTTAATAAGTGGTAGTTAAATATACACTTAGTGGATAAATAATAAACGGACTCTATCTTTAGTCACTTGAATTCTGTGTCCTTCAATCAAGGGACCATGTACTATAAGAGGTCAGTATTTCCTCCTCCTTTACAGAGAGATAAAGTTGCACCTATGTACAATTTTATGATCAATAGAAATGCATCTTGTTCACTCCTAGAGCCCCTCTGTCCCAGCTTCCACTTCCTTACTATTGCCACCCTTGGAGTGAGCTCGGGGCAGCTCTGCCATCTCCGTACTGAATCATACAGTTTTCTTTGAAAAGGAGACACCCAGGGCCTGTCCTGCAGCCTAGTGGTTAAGGGAACTGGATCTCACATGGCCAACTGCACAGTTTGCATCTTTGCACTGGCAGCTTAAAAAGCATGCCTTGTCCGTGCCTTCCCCAGTCCCAACAAGATGGAGAAATGGAGGACAAGACTGCAGCGTGACCATACCTCCCTGAAGGGTGCTTTCTCCATCTCCCTTTCTTCATCTCTGTCTCTGGTGAGTGCATATACCCTCTGGCAATTAATATATATATATAATATGTGTGTGTGTATATATTATATATATTTAATAGATGTTCATAAGCTCAAGTAGCTCACAATCCTTTTTAGCCTTTTAGCCTTTTAGCCTATTAGAGTCAGACAGTTGAGATGTTGTGAGGATCAAATGCAATAAGATAAAGCATTTACATCCTACTTACCAGGACATGGTAAAAATGTTCATGTTATTGCAGTCCCATTCCCCCATCCCACTCTGCCACCCTCTCCCTGGCTCCCAGATTTCTATCCTTTTCAATATTTTCTTGCACATTTAGAGGACGGGTACATAGTTCCAGACCTCCGAGATTTCCTCACTGTCTGCTACTGCATCTCAGGCCATCAGCCCAGTGGAGCACATCAGCAGGGTTTTCAGTACAGGCCTGCAGTGACAAGGATCCCAGTGGGACAGGCACCGCATCCTCAAGTCTGCCTGTGCTTAGCCATTCTTTCTCCAGAACCCTGTTCAATGGCAATGCCAGCTCCTTCTTTGACTGTTCCAGTACTTTCCAGTCCTTAGTTTCTGAACAAATTGCAATCCA